CTTGAGCCACAGGCGCCACGCTGAATTTTATGGATTTTTAAAAAGCAATTCAGGGCAACATTTATGGCTCAGTGAGTAAGGCACTGGCCCCATATACCAAGGGTGGCAGGTTCAAACCCAGCCCGGGCCAGCTAAACAATAATGACAACTGCAAAAACAATAACAACAAAAAGCCAGGCATTATAGTGGGCGCCTATATTCCCAGCTACTTGGGAGGCTGAGGCAAGAGAATTGCTTAAGCCCAAAAGTTTGAGGTTGCTGTGAGCTGTGATGCCACAGCACTCTACTGAGGGCAACATAGTGAGACTACCTCAAAAAGAAAGAAAAAAGTGGGCAGCACCTGTGGCCCAAGAGTAGAGCACCGGCCCCATATACCCGGTATGGCGGGTTCAATCCCGGCCCCAGCCAAAACTGCAGATAATAATAATAATAATAAAGAAAAACAAAATTCAAGCTCGGCACCCGTAGCACAGTGGTTACGGCGCCAGCTACATATACCAGGACTGGTGGGTTCGAACCCCGCCCAGGCCAGCTAAACAACAATGACAACTGCAACAAAAAAATAGCCAGGTGTTATGGTGGATGCCTGTAGTCCCAGCTACTTGGGAGGCTGAGGCAAGAGAATCACTTAAGCCCAAGACTTTGAGGTTGCCGTGAGCTATAATGCCACAACACTTTACTGACAGCAACGTAGTGACACTTTGTCTCAAAAAACAAAAAAAAAGGGCGGCGCCTGTGGCTCAAGGAATAGGGCACCAGCCCCATATGCCCAGGGTGGCGGGTTCAAGCCTGGTCCTGGCCAAAACTGCAAAAAAAGGAAAGAAAGAAATTCATGACAGAGGTTCACCAGGAGACTCTTTCTCAAATTAAAAAAAAAGCCCCAACAATGAAATGTCAAGATGTGTCTCAAATGTTAACAATAACAAAAAACCTCCCATTATCAAACTCCAAAATTAAAGTTCAAATCCCATTGCAAACTAAAACTAAGACACTACAGTCAAAAGTAATTTAAGTTCAAAATCCCTATATTAAAGTCACAAACCATCAATCCCAATTTGTATTTATATTTAATCTTAGCTACAGGGTTTCTAACCCTTGGGCAGAGGAGTAGGCTGGAATGAATTGGTTCCTCTAAGGCCCTGGAGACTGTGAATTCCAAGGCAAGCCTTCCATGAATCTCAATTTTTAAAAGTCCAAAGAGTTAATGAAAAACAAGAATATCCTGGCTCAGCACCTGTAGTTCAGCAGCAGGGGTGCTAGCCACATACATGGGGGCTGGCAGGTTGGAACCAGGCCCTGGCCTGCCAAACAACAATCACAACCGCAACAAAAAGTCCCAGCCACTTGGCAGGCTGAGGCAAGAGAATCGTTTAAGCCCAAGAGTTTGAGGTTGCTGTGAGCTATGACACCACAGCGCTCTATGGAGAGTGAGGGACATGGTGAGACTCTGTCCAAAAAAAAAAAGAATATCACAACACTAACCCCACAA